CGCACTCCCGTGTGTCCGGTTTCCAAGGTGCCGAACAAAACACAGACACTGGCAAAAAAAGACAGCAACGAGCATTTACCTCACAGGGGAAAAACTAACGCCACTAATTCACTTCCCCTGGGCGATACGATGCTAAAACCAGGGGAACCGTGACGGCGTTGTGTAAATCACGTAGACTTGTTCTGCTTTCTGAAACCTCGCGTGCGATCATTTCAAAACCACCAAAGACCGCGAGAATATTTCTGTTTTAAACTCGAAAAAAAAACAATCTGTTCAAATTAAGTCATGTACCTTATAAAAAATGCCATGCATTGCCTATGTTGAATATCGACTTCTAGACGTCTTGTTTGTGTGTGTCTGTGTGTTGGCGAGAGCTTTGTTTAGTGTCAGATTGTCCTCGCCTTTTTCTAGGGCTGAGTCGGACGACTCCAGTGACGCGAGCATGGCCGAAGAGGATCCGCTGATGTCCAGCGCCTCGCCCAGTTCTCTGCCCACCAACACAACCGCCGGCACCGGCGATCGCGGCGGTCTGGTCTCGCCCAGCCGACTCATGATGACCTCGCCGTCCGGCCAGAAGCGTCACGGCGCCAGCGACGTGATGACCTCGCCCACGCGACTGCGCCGGCGTCCTGCGCCCACCAACACCTCCTGCAAGAAGGCCAAGAAGGGGAGACGGGGGAAGAGGAGGAGGAGGAGTAGGGCAAAAAAGCAGAAGAAGCATCAGGGTGGTGGTGGTGCGGGCAGCGAACGCAAGGCGGTCTATCGAATGGCCGTGAAGCGCGCCGCTGAGGGCTGGAAGTTGAGGAAGGAGACTTTCGCCAAGCAGATGGGACGCACTCGGCGCCCTGACTACTACAAACCCATCAAGGTAGCTGTCTTTAACAACAACAACAGCAGTAGTAGTGGTGCTTTCGTGTATTACTTCATCTGGTTTACAGCACTGAGTGGGGCTGTGTGTGTGTGTGTGTGCGACGGTCTGGCTTCCGGTGTTTTTCTCAGGGCTGTGCGTCTTGCCTTCCGGTTGCCGTTTCCTTTCGCCCACAAGCGCATAAACACACACAAACACACACACACACAATCTCTCCTTTACGCGTGTGATGTGTCGCCCGACGTCGGACTTGGGGGGAGGGGGGCGGGCGAGGGGCGGAAGGAGGCGCACGTGCGGTTCTTTTTCTGACTCGCAGCCGGAAACAATCACTGTCATTAGTAAGAGGAAGCAGTGAGGTTGCGCGCCTCCAACGCCCGGATCTATCTTTGACTCCATCTCTTGCCTGAGTGCGTGTCTGCTTTTTTTGGTGCACGAAGAGGAAGTCGACGTGGATGCGATGGCTTGGAAAGTGTCCCGCTAATTTCGTGGGTTGGTGCCGTGGCTGCTTTGTTGGTAAGGTGCTGTTGTCGACAAATCCGTCGGTAGTTCTATGCTAACTTCACTAACCAATAAAACGAGGTTGAATTCGCTTTTGGGTCGATGAATCGATGCGGTCAGAAGTGGTGGCACAGACGCACGTCGAACTCATCTCTGCGTGCTGGAGAGATTGTGTGGTAACGGCGCGATGGACGGATGTGGACCCTAATGTCTTTTGAATTGCTTCAATTGGACGTGGACGACCCAAGCTTCTAGCACTAGGCTCACTATTCAAGATACGCTTCACTACATCGTGTGCTCGAGCTCCTTCTAAGGAACCAGTCGACCTAATTGGCTGTTGACTGTCTACAAAAAATGTTGATGGATTGAAGGGTAGGTAAAAATGGCCAGAATTGGCAACCTGCAAAGGTAACGTGTTCTACCGGATTTGATTTCTTGCCAATCCACCGCCATGTTATCTACGGTGAATACTTTTGAAGGGCCTGGTGGTCCACATCCGTCCACCACAGAGGTTGTTCATACTTTCGTTGCTTCTTGAGCTTCAAGAAGCAGGAAGAACTACGTGGCATGGAGAATTGAGGCCTCGTCTTGCATCCGGGGAACAACGCCAGAGGTTCCGGCACTCTGTCTCTCTCTCCCCCTCGGTTCCTCGGATCCACTGCATTTCCTCACCCACGATTTAATTCTAGCCCTTCGACCAATTATGCGATGCTCCACTCGCCCTCTCTACCGCCAACCAGGATTAAAAAACGCCGCGTGGTGGACATGCGCGCACAAGATGGCCTCGCCTTGATTAAACTCAGCTCTCCAGTGCCTCGTCGATACCATCGTATCCTCTGCCCGGGGACACAACAGTTGCGGTGCAGATTGCCGGTGGTTTTTCTTCATTTGGCGCCAGATTTCTTGATTTTGCTCCTCTGGTGTGTTGTTTTTTTTCGCCTCACATTGCTCCTCCGCCGTGTCTGATCCGTTTACGCTGATAACTTAGCGCCACCCCGCCCCGCCCCACCTCAATCTGAACCGACAAACCTGTGCCGATGGAGTTAGCCGGGGGGTGTGCAGTCGCAAACCTCGCAGTGGTCGATTCTGGCCTTAGGAACCTCGTGAATCCCCTCAACAACGGTCATTCACCATCCCTGGCCAATCACCGGTGTGTCGGTGCTGATGTCGCTACGCATGGCTGGACGTCCGTAACTTGGATGCCGTCATGTGTCCTGTTGTTTTAGCCTCGCTTCAGCACTTAAAAAACAACCACTGTTTACTTAATCACATCGCCCAGGGGAAGTGGATTAGTGGCGTTGGTTTTTCCCCTGTGCGGTAAATGCTCGTTGCTGTCTTTTTTTGCCAGTGTCTGTGTTTTGTTCGGCACCTTGGAAACCGGACACACGGGAGTGCGCGCACCTGGGAACAACCGACGAATGCAACAGTCCACGCCGACGTGCCCCACTTCGCGCTGCAACTTTACCCTTGAAGCACTGAGTTCGTGGCGGTGGTGGTGGTGTAGTGGTTTGGCAGCTGCCAACACGACTTCTAGCACGCGACCTTGGGCGTTTTATGAGGTGTTAGAAAAACCCAACGACAAGTCGCCGTTTTGAGTTGCAAAGCCTCTCGGAATGGCAGAGTTCACTAGGGCAACTACTAAACAGCTCACTCGATGGCACTGCAGTCTATACGAAATTCAATCAATAAGGGAAAAAGGGCTTCCATAGCGTCAAGGGGAGGATCAACGTGTAGTGTTCTTGGTGCCGACGTCGTGTCTTATGGAACGTGTCGCTATTGGTGCGGAACGTGTGAGAAGTGGTGGTTTCGAACTTAGTGACCAGCCACGACCGGCAGAGCAGCCTTGAAGGTTTGAGGATGTACGATTATAAGCTCTACTGGATGAAGACTCAATGCAAACGGAACAAGAGATTGTAACCAAACAGCGTTTGCACCACGAAATGGGGAACATTCAACACCTTAGAAGTTGGGACCCACCACATGAGCTGACCGACCACAACCTAGGTCAGCGTATCAACACGTGCCTTTCGATGTCTTGTGGAAAATTGTGACGGGTAATTAAGAGTATGCATTTTGTTGCGAGAATACCAAAGGTGAAGACGATGTCGTGGATCGATGCCGGGCAGCAACCCAGCATATCGACGTCAAAACAGGACATCCAATTTATGAAGGTTCTCCTGTGTATCAGGTGGGGGGACGTGAAGGGTGTGTTTTATTACGAACTTCTGCCAACTGGACGTCAAGCTGTGGCTGCAGCCGACAAATGAGCGAGCGGCGTGAAAACCTTGATGAGAAAATGCCATTTATTGGGCAAGGAAGCAGGCAAGTCATACTACTGCTGCTGCTGCTGTTGCTTTACTACAACACTGGACCATCTTACGTTGTTCGTGCACGACTCACAAGACTGGCTTGATCTTGGGATGGGAAGCTCGCCCACACACCAGACTTGGCCCACCTTCCGTCTACCATTTGTTCCGGCCAACGCAGCCGCACCACGCGCTAGTTCAAAACTCTGGAAGACTTGGTCCGTTCCGACCACCACTCTTTTTTTTGATGCTGGACGATGTGCGTAAGTTAGTCAACGATGACTTTCGCGCGTTGTTCGTTGTTCTCCATTATTTTAAACTAACTATATTTACTATTAAAGTGTTGATTTATGTCACACGGGTCCCGTTGGCCGCCAAGGACTGTCACCGGTGTTTGTCAACTCGAACGTGGACGGTTTCCTTAAGTGCGACTTCCCTGCCTTGCAGACCAACTGCCCAATCGGCTCGGTTCGCGTGTACCGCTACACGGACCTGTCGGAGGCGCCGCAGTGCGACTGCAAGGCCTCCGACCCCTGCGGGCCCAACAGCGGCTGCATCAACCGCGCCCTCCTCTACGAGTGCGTGCCCAGCGTCTGCGTGCACCGCGACGCCTGTCGCAACCAGTGCTTCACGCGCCGCGAGTACCCGCCCCAACGACCCTTCTGGACCGGGGAGGCGCGGGGCTGGGGCCTCAAAACCCTCGTCCCCATTCACAAGGTTCGCTGCGTGCCTGGCGCTCCTCTCGTGCACAAATTAGCGTGCTCGTGTGTGTGAAAATGTGTCGGTTTGTGAGTGAGCGTGTGAATCTTCTAGGCCCGTTTAGTAGTCGATAATGAGCTGTGCTGTTAACTCGACTGCTCAGTTGACGACACGAGACTGGAGACGCTTTGGGCGACCATTTGATTGCAGTGTGTGGTGCCAACGTGGTTCTGTGCCTTGTGAACTCTGTCTACACACATGTGCCAGTAAAATCTCCAAATGTGAGTTTGTTAGTGATAGAGCAATTTTGGCTCCCACGCAAATGCTGTCTTCGTCTGTTTATTTGGGGGTTAGTTTTCACATTTCCTGTGCAGTTGAAGTTTTATTTTCGCAGCGACAAGACAGTTGTGCTGAGTGTTCGTGTCAGAATTGGTCTGGCGACATTTTCACTCTCAGTTCGCCGGCGTCGTTGTGGTGGACACGCTGAATTTGTAAATGACCAAGTCGTTGGCTGCATTACTCAAACAACAGTTGAACATCACTTGAAACGTCTCGGACGCATTTCCGACCTCGATATTTTGGTTGCGCAAGAACTAGAGATCGAATCAACGTAGGCGATGCTCGTTTGCCGATCGAAAACGGTCGTGGTGCTGTCCGTTGATTGCCTGTGTATCGTAAACGGTGGTGTTCGAAAAACGTTTATGTGCTTAGCATTCGCTCTCCTCCAATCGCCACCAACAACTCTGTTCTGTTCGTTTTCGTGCTAATCACAAATTTTTCCTTTCTGCTTGTGAATTTAAGGGCGACTTTGTGAATGAGTACATTGGTGACTTGATTGACGAGGAAGAGGCCAATCGACGCCTGCGGTTCGCCCACGAGAACAACATCACCAACTACTACATGATGCAGATGGACTCGCAGCGCATCATCGACGCCGGGCCCAAGGGTAACCTCAGTCGCTTCATGAACCACTCCTGCTGTCCAAACCTCAACACCCAGAAGTGGACTGTCAACGGCGATACGCGCGTTGGTCTCTTCGCTGTGCGGTACGTTACATTCTCTTCCGTCCAATCAGCGTTCACTCCATTTCTTGGCGCCAATACTGGCCAGGTGGACACAATGAGTGTATTTGAGCTATGACTCTCCTTTTGTAGTGACATTGCTGCTGGTGAGGAGTTGACCTTTAACTACAACTTCTGTGCTCATGGCCAAGAAATGCTCAATTGTTGCTGTGGCGCGGAGACGTGTGTGGGCTACCTGGGCGCGCGCCACGAGTCCGCGTCGACTGCCCCCGGCTCGTCCACAGACCTCGCCGCTGCCGGTCGCACTCCCGCAGGTGACGAGGACTCCACAAGGAAGACTTCGACTGCTCCACACAGGAACGGCGGTACCGTGGACTGCGGTCCCTCCGAAACCGATCATGGCGCGATCGATAAGTACGAGAAGGTCTGCTATAGGTGAGCTACTTGCCTACTGTGTTTCTCATAGCTCCACGAGGTCGCTTGTCAGCTCGGTTCGCTCTGCCTCCTGCAGATGTGGGCAAGATGTGTGGAATGGCCAGGCCCCACCAACCACCGGTGCATCCCACGCCTCCATGTCCACCAACTCGAGCTCCACCGTGAGCTGCCGAGGTCGTGGACGCAAACGAGCGACCACGAGGCGTGACGACGACGGTGGAGAGGAGACTGACAAGCAGTCGGTGTGTTCCACGCGCTCCTCTTCAACTACCGTCGGTGGATACGTCGAACCTCTGGTCCTGTGCACCAAGGACGACTGCTCCAAGGCCTACCACCTCCAATGCCTTGACTTGGACAAACGCCCCACCGGTACGCTTTTATTCCTTCCTTATTTTGCCACCACACTCTATTGGTTAGTTCACCAGACTAGTGTTTTGTGCTTCAAGGTCGCTGGTTCTGTCCGTGGCACCACTGCGATGCGTGCGGTCGACCAGCCACGGTCTTCTGCATGCAATGCCCCACTTCGTTTTGTCCAGCCCACGTTGAAGGCAGCGTCGCAGTCCTGCCACCCCTTAAAGACGAGGCTCCTGCCCAGGTACGTCGATGTCCTTGTGTCCGGTGCTGACCTGATGTGACGCCTTGGTGTGCACACCATCAAGGCGGGATTCTTTAAACGCGCGTTTTCTTTACTTAGGTCGTGTGCCTGTCTCACACTGATCTGATCGCGGAAAGAAGCACACAAAGGGACTCCTCCTCCGACGGCGGTGATGACGGTGATGATGACGATGACGACAGCGAAGAAGACCGTTCGAACACCGGCGAGACGGATTCTCAGAGGTCAGTGGGAGAGAGCGACACCGACGGCAGGTCCTCCTTCACGGCCACTCCCAGCCAGGGTCAACATAGTCGACGAGGACGGCGTCGAAGTGGCAACACGCATTCCCTGTTCCGCGCCCTCGCCGACTCCTGTAAGCGTCGCGACGCCGAGATCAATCGACTGCGCAGCATTCTCTCACCCACCGAGACAACTCAATAGGTGTCTTTGTGTTCTCTTTTGTACACAGGAGTCACAAACTTTGGTCTATAGCCTATTTTTATACCCTAATTTTACTAATAAGCCTTTTTGTAGACTTGGTGCCGTTTTTGCTGGTTTTCGGGGACCTCTTTTTCTTGGATTTCAGAGAATTCCTGAACCAACTTCTCTAGTTGCGTGGAATTTATCGGATTTCAATAGCCCGTCTCCGTCTATAGAGCTGGCGGGTTGTTGTGTCGGCTTGATTTCAGCTGAAATTACTCGAATTTAAGACGCGTCTGGCAGTCGGTAGTGCTGCACCTCCAGCTACCAAGCCCTGGCTATGGTGCATTCTACAGCGCCACACGAAAGCCACGCCGAGACCGCATTTGGGTGTTCTTTACTTGTCTCTTGTGCACACACACTGCGAGATTGACGTTTGTGAATAAATGTGTCGTCAGACGCGAATAATTTTGTAGTTTCGAGTTGGTTAAATCAATTTACGACCAGAATTTATCTAGCTACTTTGAGCACCACATTCTTGCACGCTGATTACCAACAAACATCTCTTTTGATTGAATGAACTTATAGTGGATTGGCTCCCAATCGGCTCACAAGCATTTTTATTGGTCACGTGCTAATTGTTGAGAAAATCGATTATTGGCTCCAAGTGTGATATATTAGCTGGGTTCCAAGGTGGTTTAACACTCTAAAACGTGCCTTGTGGTCCACCTTGAAGGCCGTTTTTGCAATCGCATCGTAAAAAAGATGGCATTTGCGTTGAAGGAAATCAATATGATTGAACTTGTGGGCCCGATGTGTTGTCTTGAACCACGCCGGGGCCAGTGACTTAACTCTGACCCGATCATGCTTTCCTGATACCCGCGATGAAAAAGAAGACCGGAGAGGACGTGGACACAATCGTTTACTTCAGAGCTCACCCATGTTGGCGTCGTGTCGTGTGTATTTATACCTCAGATGTGTGAGTCATAGATGAGCTAACATCGAGACCCAGGTGTGAGGATAATCTAAGAGAATCGTTCGCGCTAATGATGGGAAGTTGAGGATCCGCGCGGCTGTCGAGATGCTGCGAAAAGGGGGACCCTGTGTTGGAGGCTGGAGTGATCGGATTAACGAGTATGAATCAATAAACTCCTAGTTGATGAACAGATCTCCAGAGCTGGTTGTTCCGTTTTTTCCCGATGTGTAGACACAGAATCCACGTGGGTTATAGTTGGTTGGGATGTCAAAGGCTTTCCAGAATAGGCGACGAAGACAAGGTGCTCCTGCAGGGAGTCGAGTGGGTGCTCAGGTGCGCCCGCTTGCATCTGTCTAGGCGATCTGAGATCGCTGACTCGAGTAGTTTGCGCGAACGACGATGTGCCGTAATTGTGGATTGGTAATTGCATGGACAGCGCTGAGTGATTGGGCGTCACAAAGCACCGCGTCAATCTACTTGTCTTGTCAACATTCCCAAACTCTGGTACATCTTCCAGTGTAGTCTGCACTACGTGTTGAAAAATGATACTCGGATTTTACATGCTACTAATTTTTGCTAAAGCTGTGAGCTGGCACGCACACGCCATACCTTACAAAACCTCGGAGTTCGAAGTTTCACTCGAAGTCCGAGCTGGTAGCCTTTTTTACAATCGGCCTTGTCCAATACATCAAAGGAAAGTACCGTAATTAATCCTAGCAACGCCAATGTCGAACACAGATAATTCGCGAACCATTAAAAAGAACATTTTATCACCCTGGTTTCGTAGGAAAGAGGCGCAGGGGGAGTGGCGGGCAGGGGTGGGGTGGGATTGAGGCGAAGCCACACACACACACACACGACTCCTGGCAAATTCGCTTTGTTATCTGAGAACGAACATCGCGTCCAACGGGGTACATAAATCGCGTTTACGACGATCAGATATTGATGGGAGTGAGTGAGTGAAGGCGGGCTTTGGAGGCGCATTGTCCTTATTTATGGGCCTGGCGCACCAATTCCCCTCGCGACAAATCGTGCCAAGCCAAGCCAAACGCAGTCTTGACGTAATGACGCGGAAACAAGGGACTGCGGGTCACGCACCTAACCTGGAAGGCGCTCCTTCGGACTTGGCTGCAAATTCCAACAGCTGAAGGTGTCGTGCGTGACGGCTTTGTCCGGCGGGCTACGTGAGCACACACACACACATCTAGTCAAAGAGGTGTCCAGTAAATTGGCTCAAATTGTCGCCACGCATTTCCGATTAGGCCATCCGAAACCAGGTTACATCATGCTAGGTGACATCCCAATAGCTTCAAGTTGGTTTCAACTGAATCGAGTGCGTTTTAACAGTAATTTATTCACTCCTGCGAATCAGTTGTGTTCTCTCAAATGGTAGACAGCCTGGTTCTTTTGTATAAATCACCGAATACTCAACTTTTAAACTAGTTGTTTACTTGCGTGTTTAATCTGTGGGTGGAGTAAATTTCGAGAATATGGGTTAGATTCATTTAGTGCTCAATAAATTAAGTTAATTGCACGCTCATTAATCCAATTAATTACCTTATCACTTGCTACAATACTAGTGGTCAACACAAAACCAAAAATCGTGGGATTAGCATCCACAATATCTGTAAATTGTGGTGACTAGTACAAGTTGGATGCTTAAAGCAATGTCAGATAACCAGAACGAAATTTATAGTTTCGAAGTCCCTCAAGCAACCTGCTTCATTAATGACGTCTTTCCTCTGGTTGTGTAGCACTCAGAGTGACTTTCAGAACTGATTCAAGACGGGATCTTAGGATGTCTTGTAGTGGACTGACAGCCGCCCCGCGCGAGTGTGCGTGCATGAAGGCCCGTGTGTAGCGATGACTCATTCCCTTTTGTTATTGATTTTTGTCAGCATTCGCCTGTTACGCACGCGTGCTCATACGCACACAAAGCCACTTGGCTGGTTCGACTCTAATAAACGGTCGTGTTCTCTGTCGCCTCCTTTTTCCTATCCTCGGGTAGCTACGGGCTGTTAACTAGAGGGTTGTAAGGTAGTGCTAAATCCTCTAATCACTGCAGTCTAACACAAGAGGACTTTCCTGAATAACCTCTCACAAACCCACAGTCTGGTGTAATGCCTGCTGACACCTCTCAAACTTACATCAGACGGTTTCTAGGTTGTCACGTGACTTCCACGTGGTGAGTCATCATTCAGAATGTGGTTGTCAAAGCAGGCCTCCACAACCCACCTTCGATTAGTGAGAACACAAATTTCAATAGCATCGACATGAAATATTTCAGTGATAAACTGTACGAAAGGCAGTTTTGCCAACTGGAGTGTTTTACGCATGCAAAATTTTATTGTCATTCTAAGTGGCGTTGGTAAGCGCTTTGGTTTAGTACGATTTTAAAGCCAGAAAAAACTGCGTAGTGCATCTTTCGGGCTGGTGGTTGATGAGACGCGGTCAGGTACGATGAAGATTAGACAAGAAATAATCAGTTTAGCATCCGCCTACCGATTCCTTGACTTGTGGTGTTCTCTGCAGGAATGACAACCTTGTCAACGGAACGCTGACTACAGACTGGAAACTTGTTCCCCTGTGAGAAATCGCCTGACGCACCCTTGAGTGGGTTCGACACAAATGTCTCCACTTCAATTGGCATTCAGGCGTTCGTTTTGCTCGTGTCATTTTGCGCGAACAGTGGGGTTTGGTGGGACAGGTGTTTGTGTTAGAAATTGTTTATGCCATCCTCAACAAAACATTTAAAAACCGCTAATTTCGGGGGCTGGTGATGCTTCGGCTTATCAAGCTTTGAAATCGGTGCCACCAACTAACCAGCACATAAATCCTCCGTTTGGCCGGCATCAGATATCAATGGATGTCTGGTGTTGGCTTTCGGACGGGTTGGGAGTGGCCAGGGTAGGGGTTAGACGTGGCCAAGAGTGTGTGTGGGTGCTGGGGTGGGGGGACGCTCGACCGAATAACTTCGGAATTTGGCGTAGTTGTGCGTGCGCGCACGCGTGAGCTTCGGTGTTTGAAGACGATTTGGAATAAAAAGTGGCTGATTTATTTGAAGCGTAGTCAAATGGAGAAACAATGCCATCTAGTTTGCGGCATAAATGATCCCAGTAATAACTGGCTGATCCTGTTCGGCCTGGGGGTCGAACCCTTACCCCAACGTTGACCTTTGACACCAAACTTGTGTCCGATTTTGGCAGGCTCATCGGTCATATTTCATGCGCTACCTGGGATACATTTCCTACATAGCTGCAAATACTTATGGGAGTTATGAAATGCTCCTTTGGAAGCCACACTTCAAATGACTACAATCCCAGAACACCTTTCAATTCTATGCAACCAATCCTGTTGTCGTGTGGACTGGAACCAGCAGACAACAGACACAATTGTGTCATAACACCAATCTGTTTAATTCGAAGCAGATTCAAAGGTCAGGACAATCTTGGCATGCCGATTTGATGTCCGTGGTCGATGTAGGGGTGGAAGTCTACCTCCGAGGCATGCCGACTTTTGATGCACCTGTTAAGTCTTGATTGGCAGTAATGTCCCCGTCAATTTCAATGAGATAGTGTGTAGAGGCCTAGTTTTAGCCCTACCTTACAACCCCCTAGTTATCAGCCCGTAACATCCCGAGAAGAGTGGCAGAAGGGGTGACAGAGGACACGACCGTTTATTGGCGTCACGCCAGCCAAGTGTGTCTTAGTGTGTGGATGGGTGAACGGTTGACAGTAACCAATGGAAAAGGGGGTGAGTCATTGTCACCGTCGGGTCAGGGTTCACTCAGGCGCGATCGCTGTTAATCCACTGCAGGTGTATCAGATGATTCACTTCTATAGTCTCCAGCGGCCTCATAACTACGATCGTGAGAATACCAATTTTGCAGCATATGTGTGTCATGTGTATGCCATATCTTAAATAAATTGAACTAAATCGGTTAGTAAAATTGGCTAACGGTGATTTGAACGTGGCCCATAATTAAATGAATGCTCTAGCTAGAATTGAAAAGTCCATAAACATGCCAGTTGGCGAAATTGATTGGTGTAGTTTCATGAGAGAAGTTCGAAAGAACTCAATGTTCCATAGTCAATCAGACGCACATCTAGACGGTTTTAACCTGCACTGTTGGCCTGCATTCATCAATAACGAACCAACTACACCAACAGTAGATGTGGCAAAGTCTTCGCTGCCACCGCGAAGTTGTCTCGATGCGTTTTGCCTAGCAAATTTGCTGAGAATGACGTGGGGAACGTCGCAGGTACGTGTGACCTGCTAACAAGCAGCAATCCGCAGTGATTTAGTTTCGTTGAAATGGTATCCAAGAGGTAGGCGGCTACCGACTTAGTTACCGCCAACTCCATCCGCATCTACAAGGCTACAGTCGACTTCACTGTGGGAATTAACACCTTCCACTTTGAAACGCTTCTACAAGTGGAACTTCCTCGCATTCCACATCTGTTGAGGCTGCCTCCACTGGAATTTTTCGTGGTAGCTTTGCATTTAAAGTGCAAATTGGCCTCGCGTGGTCACAGAAGCACTTTAGTACGTCCAAATTCTGTCTGACGGGTATCGTTTGGGGCGTGTATTCAAGCCAACCGCCATCTGTGCTAGAAAATTATGCTAGCTCATTCAAAGTATTTATCTGCGCCTCCAAAACCGTGAAGGCAGCACTCAGTGGGAACTAATCTGACCTCATAGACACTTGTTGATTCCTTCTAATTGGCATCTAAGAAACACAATTCCCCTTGTTTTTCACGGCAGCGAGTGAAACCCATTAATGTGGTGCGTGGGGCGTTGGGCCTTAAAAACAAACGTGTGCCTGCGTGCGTGTGTGTGTGTGTGTGTGTTTTCGAGAGACTTACGAGGGGAACGTTAGGCGGCTATTTCGTCATTGCGAGTTTACAGCGATGCGATAATTTTTATAATGCAATCGGTGCGACTAGAGGTGCACTTTAGATTGATGGTTTCTCGAAACTAGGACCCAAACAACTAAGCCTCTTTAATGCAATTGGTGATTTTCCACTAATTCGGAGGCAAATTAGTTGACGCCTAGAAGGTGCGAAGCAAAATTAGTGTGGAATAGACCATCGTCAGAGGTTGAAGCCACTTCCCCAATCAACTCGCACTTGTCAATCGTAGAGTCCACAAGTTCTTCACGAATCACTGTGTATAGCTCCTCCACAACGACTACAATTATGCAAGAGGGGAAATGGTGTAGAGGGATTCGTCTGTCAGCGGAAGTGCAAGCCTAGAGGCAGCACTTCCTGTTTCCCCATCTCCCTCTTCCACTTGCTTTTTGTGATTTTGCCTTCTCTCCTGTACCCCCAACCCCCTGGATCACTTGGTTCTTTCTTCCTCTATTGACAACGCGAAGCGGAAGTTGTGTTGTGAGACGCACCGGAAAATGCCGGCAAGGGTGGCGGTCTGATGGCCTGGTGAGCGGAAATCGATCGCAGGATCCTGAGGCACGCACAAGGCTCAGTCGAGGTTACGCTGAACCCCTGGCAAAGTCTTCGCTGGCACTGCGAGGCTGTCTCGATGCGTTTTGCCCTGCAAATTTGCTGAGAATGACGTGGGAAACGTCGCAGGTACGTGTGACCTGCTAACAAGCAACAATCCGCAGTGATATAGTTTCGTTGAAATGGTATCCAAGGCGTAGGCGGCTGCCGGCTTAGTTACCGCCAACTCCGTCAGCATCTACAAGGCTATCGTCAACTCCTCTGAAGGAATTAACACCTTCTGCGGCTTTTCCATTAACCCCGCAACCACGAAACGTCAACTCAATCAGCCGGTACACCTACCACCAACTTCAGATCGCATGGAATCCAGTGACTTCTGCATCTAAACACCCAATTCAGAGATTTGCGGAGAATACAGTTTGGCCTCTTCATGCCCCATGGTCAGCGGAAATCGCATGACGCCGTTGCACGCATCCGCTGCTCGCCCCGTCGCGTCCTGCCTCCACGGCTTTTGCGGATGTTTGGTCAATCAACTTCCGCTTTTTTGTACTCTCATCCGTGAAATGCATTAGCATGCCAAGAATTACACGATTCTGCTGATTTTACCGAATTTTAGCCTTTTGCACTTGGGTATACATGCCGAGTTGGAGGAAATGGGCTTTGTAGGGTCAGTCTAAAGCCGGATTTATAATAAGAAAATATTGGACTTTTGGCAGTTGCAAAGAGCTCGTTCGGGCAATTTTGTGATTCCGCGCTCACAGAACTTTTCTTGTCGCTGTCAGCAGAGGATTTAAGAGCGACCCCATATTCTTGTTTTTTTGACATTTAAAACTTGATTTGGTGGGTAACATTGGAGTGTTGGAACATCAAATCCCAACCGACATGACTGTCAGATCTCGGCGTGTCCTCATTTAACACTATTCCTTCAAGGTGTCCACCTCCTTTGTAATCCTACTAAACCGAAAACGCAATATTTTCGTCGATGGCATTCAGCTTTAAGTCTGAATTTACTGGTTCATTTCGCTCTTGAAATAGTTGTTTTCCATTCCTGTAATTTGATACGACCCGGCAGTGGCACTAGGTCCAAAACGAACGTGAAAACTACCCAATACACGTGCTGTCAATCGCGTTGATTCACACTCGCTAGTCCAATCACTCCAGCCCCCGACACAGGGTCCCCCTTCTCGCAGCGTGTCGCCAGCCGCGCGGATCCTCAACTCCCCCCTCGTTCATACGGATATTTATATTGGATTATCCTCACACCTAGGTCTCGATGTTGGCGCATGAATGACTCACACATCCGAGGTATAAATACACACGCGCAAACCCCACACACGACACAACGATATCAACGTGGTTGAGCTCTGAATTCGACGGTTGTGTCTACGTCATCACCGATCACCTTTTTCTTCATCGCGGGTATCTGGGAAACGTAATAGGGCCAGAGTTAATTCAGTGGCCCCAGCGTGGTTCAAGACCACATGCTGGGGCCCACAACACGTTTTCGATCATCTGCGTCCATGGTACACAGAATATCACCAGGCAGCGCCAACACTAATTCGGTCTTTGATTCTTGCTGAACCCAGATATCGAGCACCGTAACGCGTACAAGACATTTCAATCGACTTCAAGTGTTGTATGAGTGATCCGTTTGACAACACATCTGCAATATCTCACACGGCAATCCAATAACACTGCCTGATTTTGTTATGGCTTTGATTTAGTCATTTCCAAGGTCAGTATGCTGTCTAAAGTGACGTTGACTGCTTCCGATTCTGGCATAGGCGTTGTGGTTATTACTCAACCCGACATAGCTTACTTTTTTTCAACTTTGAGATGTATTGTTGTGGAAACGTTACAACGCGTTCAAATCTGTTTATGACTTACAAAATGACATCACGTTCAACGTGGAATTCGATAAAGCTGCAGGCAGACACAGCCAACCTTCCTGTGATCATTCAACATAAACGTTGTCATTTACGGAAGGACAGTTTCATGGACAAGACATCACGCTCAAGGCGTCCGAAAAGGGCCTTGGTAGTTACATCACCCTGGTCCTTGGACAAGCGTTTTGCAATTGGGGCTCAGAGACGGGACAACTGCGCAGAAATACTGGCGTGAGCAGTGGTGCTTTTGGTGTTTTGATGTCCTTTATTGTGGTTCAATCACGCACCTCAAAGTCAGACAAGTTGGGTTTTAATAAACCCTTCTGCAGAAGATCTGAATAGCGGCCATTAAAGTGACAGTTTGTTGCCGAGAGCGCAAAATGGCAAGACCCAAGTCTGACAACACACTTGAAAAATGTTACGGTGACCTCAACGGCGAGGTACGCGTGCACGACAGCTATTCGTCCAGTCGGTTAGAAAGGTGGACTCACTCTAGGTTATGATGTTAGCTTGAAAACACCAGTGGTTTCCGAGACACCAACATGGAAGAAGTCTACTAAAGACCTCTGATCTTCCGTACGGGTAATCAACAACAACAATTGCGCATATTTTAAACTTTTTAAACGTGCAAGGAACATCACCCTGTAGTGAGAGTCAGTGCTCTAAGTGTTGGTTCCTCAGATGCATATTGCGCTTCTTCTACTTTCGATTTAAAGTATAAAATTAAGTTATACCAATCAATCACCTGTTCGATTATTGCTTTTTGTACTTTTACTCTGTCTTGGTAAACAGCATTGGTGTTGTCGTGGGCCCCAGCGTGTGGTCTTGAACCACGCCGGGGCCACGGAATTAACTCTGGCCCGATTACGCTTCCCTGATACCCGCGATGAAGAAAAAGATAGAAGAGGACGCGGACGCAACCGTCGAATTCAGAGCTTAACCAAGTTGTTGTCGCTGTGTCGTGTGTGGGATTTGCGCGTGTGTATTTATACCTCGGATGTGTGAGTCCTACATGCGGATAATCCAAGAACGAGGGGGGAGCTGAGGATCCGCGCGGCTAGCGACATGTTGCGAATAGGGGAACCCTACGTCGGAGGTGGAGCGACCGGACTAAGGGGTGTGAATAAACACGCTTCACAATGGTGTCTAGAGGCCATTGTTTTCGTTCGGCTCCTGGATCCCCCACACACCCCCCGCACCCCCCTTTATCTCTTCTATGTTGGTCAGTATATTGCCGTTTTTTCGTATTACAGTGCTCGTCGAACCCATCTAAATGAATGTTGCAAGGTGGCGGCACGTTGTGCCAGTGTCAGTGGACGAAGGCCATTTGATAAAAGATTAAGCAGAAATAAAGTATATTCAACCTAAAAGAAGAGTTCTGCTCAAGTCTGGTAGGAATATTCTCGAACTTCCTTGAACACATCTCACTTTGGCGTGGTGGTATCCAACAGCGTCAGGGTACGAAACGGCAATAAATGACACTTGAACTGAAGTAGAATGTTCGATAAGTAATTGTGCTTTTCACTGACCAGTAATCTCTGTGGGAACCAGATTCTAAATAGTTGGGATCAACGGTGCTATGTAATGAATTCTTCAGTTCAAATTATGTTAAGGGAACGTTTAAAATGCCGTGGTCGTCGATCGAACCGCCTTCAACGTTGTGTCTAGAGTCGGGCGTAACTAAGCCGTTGGTGAATGAAAGAACATGGTTGACGGGTCAGCTGTGAACAGGGGGACTTTTCGTCCGAGATTGTGCTGACCGCGTTGACGGACGTGAATCAATACGATTCACTGCAAACATATAACTGCCTCATCTGTGTGCATTTTGTCTGGAAAACATTTCTAGAGTTCTCCGCGTCCCCAACCGATTTCATCTAAACTTATCACAAATAGACGTCCAACTTCACCTCAGTAGGCGGTGACCACAGGTGAAACAATGAAAAATGGTAAAAGGCAGAAACACAGAATGTTTCCCCTAAACCCTGCCACCTTTTTGTTGAAGTCCACGGCTCCTTCCTTTGGCCCCACCCACCCTACCCTCAGACACATTTCCTGTGGCGGAAGGTTGCACAGTCAGTTGCCTGTCACCAGGTACGGAAAAGCTACCACCTTCTGTTACCTCGGAAGTTTACTCTGCCGGAGAACAGCAGTGTGTGCGTGTGTGCTGCAGTGCTCACCACAGGCCCACTTTGTGACATTCGAGGTGATCAGCTGACTCTAGTGTTGCCTGTGCCAATCGACAAATACAAGGGCACAACTCCTGTTTCCTCAGCGTACTGACAAATTGCACGCGTTTGTCAGTAAAAGACCCCAGTTACGACGGCTGAAGTCACAGGAAGAACATTCACAACGATGAAGACCATGCTGTTGGTGTTTTGCAGCGTTGTATCCACGCACAGCCGATTGTACATCTTGGCGAAGAACACGGAAGTGTGTAAGTTGTAACTTTACACAGCAAGGCAATGTCTCTATTCACCAACCAAAATACAGAACTAAGAGGTTACCCTTCTTTGTATTTTGACTATTGTGCCTAAATAACTGAAAGGGATCAAAGAGTGTCACCAGGAGGTCATCGCGGAGGAGTCGGGGGTGGTGGTAACTCCCTTGAATAGAACAGCCCAGATATCTGTGCAATCTCGCTTCTCAACCTGCATACAATACATTCAAATCAACTATCGATTTATGGTCTAATAAAGTCGAAGTCATGTAGGATGCAATCGTGATTCACCATGGCTGCCTTTTTGCATCATAAAAATCGATTGAGTTCCACGTGATACTCAAGTTGTTTTGTAGGTTGGATAATATTTTATACTTGTGGGGTTTTTCAAGAAATTGGCTTTTGTTTGCGAAAATATGGCCTTTCAAAAACACAGTAAAACAAGCCAATCTTTGAGGGCAAGAGGTACCTTGAAAACATCAAATTGTTTGTGAAGTTTGGTAATCGTTACGCCACTTTTAAACGCGAAAACCGTGGGCAACAGCCACGCCTGCCAAGTACGGTTAGTTCTAACAGATCAAAAAAGTGTCACGCAGACCCTTCGTGTGGAATTTCGTGGAAATGTCGCGTGTAGAAACGCTCTTAACCCAGATCCTTTTGGTATTCTTCCATATGCACACACACACACACATACACACCGCCACCTCCACAGTCAAAGCAGTAGTAGCAGGCTAACAAACGCGAGACCACTAAAATCTCACCATGATTTTAGAAGGAGTGCCTACCGAGGCACCAAGTGACTTGTCATAGGTTGGGCAGATAAAAGCTACTCCAGTCTACACATGCAAAAGCGTGCTTAAACACTTCTTACTCTGTGAATGTGTCTTACAGCTAGGATTTCACAACTGGCTCTCACGGATGCAACCCAAAGTGCTCATGGAGCCGGGAGCACTTTGGCTTGATGTGATTGGCTGGAGTGGATTTCTCGCTTCGTGGGAAAATCGATAAGCTTCAGTGGATTTCTTACTTTCAAAGCTCTTGAGGATGATGACAATGCTGGGCCGTTAACACGATGTTGTTGGTGATTTGTAGTCATGACAAAGAAACGGAACCAGGAGGAGACGATTGTTTGGCCTAGTGTATTGGGAGCCGCCACGGTCCCCAACTCAAACAGGGCGGTGTCCGAGAGTTAAGACGTGGTCATCTAGAGGTAGCCAGGTGCTCTCGTTGGGGATTAATACAGGAAATACACCTGCCCACTCAAGAGCTCAACAAGGGGTGAGACGACATCTATTACTCATCCACAACCTGCCCTAATGGGCAAAAAGGTCCACTTACAATCTACCCAGCATTACTAACAGGTTTCTACCAGAGTAAACTAATTTAAGAGGAGGAAAGGGCGACAGAAGACGTGGGGGAGGAGTGGGGGAAGCCAAGCCTGATGCGACAACGCCCACATCTTTAAGGGGATTGTCATTGTTACACCGGACAAAGTGGTCTCCAGAAGGCATTTTTTTACCCATCCTCAGCCTGCACCGAGACGAACAAAAAAAGAATGCAAATTTTGTGCTCCCTGAACAAAGCACACTGCCATCGGCCTGACGAAATCGACGATGCAGCAGAGCAGTTCTACAAGGGTGTGGCTGCTTGTCTGGATGTAGCCCACTAACTGATGAGATTTCGGTGTTTACCAAACCATCACGCATCAAGGAGGCGCGTGGTTGAGTGCATCCGCACTGAGGCCGTGTCTGCCACAGGCAGCCGACAGCTGAGGTTTCCAGGAGTTGCCTTGCGTTGCCTGGACGTCGGTGAGGCGCCTAGAGTGCTAGGCACTCAGCAGGTTTGCCGTTGCCTCGTGGTGGCTCACACCCCACTATTCGGTGTTATTGATGGATGTGGTTGTGGGAGGGACCGCTGTACTTTCCATTGCGGTAAATAACAATTTCGCAAACTAACCACCTACACACTCTAAACTGGTAAACAGGTGTTACCACGCCTGTTCCCACTAACGTAATTTAAACCAGTTAATGAAAGCGCGTTTTCGCGTTGTGTATAGTGGAACAAACAGGTGAATTGTTTTCTGTGATCCACCGCCCACACAATGTGCCGATTTTTCGACGTATTTTTAATTTCTACGTGTTTCCTTTACATCTTAATTAAAAAGGGCTACATTCATCGATCGATTTGACACAATAGAATGCCCAAAAACAAGAAGATAGGATATGCGGTTTTGCAATGTACAGTGATTCTCTTGGTATATAAAATAAGGAAGGATAGAGAGAGAGAGAGGAATGCCCTATGCCAAATAAAACAAAAAAATAACGCTTGAAAGGAAAATAAAGATTTGTGAGTAATGAGGTTCGATTTACTCCTGGATGACAATTTGGCTCTAAGCTGTGGAGGCTCCTCAGCCGTGGGTGACGGAGGAGGTGTTTGCGTTGGAGGAGGAGGAGGACGACGAGGAGGGGGAGGAAGTGGAATGAGCTGGGGGAGGTTCTCTGGGCTGATGGCTCTGAAGCGACTGAGACAGCATCGTCATGAAGTGGCCCACAAGGTCCACTTGAATCGGCATCCAAATGTAGTTACCACTGCGGTCGTCCGAGGAAGCGGGAGCACGCCTGACGCTTCCAACCTCGCCATGCTTCAGTGGATCGCTTTGGGGACTGTCGAAGGGTCGAAAAATGGGTGGCTTTCTGTCCTCCCCACCAGCTACTCGCTGAATCTGTTCTTTCAGCCGGTTCATGTTGATCATGTGACGTTGCCAATGAAGGTAGGAGCGATGGTCGGACGTGGAGGAAGACAGTGTGTCTTCCTGAAGACCCTCATTTGTCGGTGGCCAGCATTCAGTTGATCTGGGTTTTTGAGGGGTCAGTGAGGGTGGGGAGAAATGCGGAGGGTGGGTCTCAACGAGTTTGTTGGTAGCGGCCGAGCAATGGCAGCTACAGTGGCAATTTGGCGATGATTGGCGCCTAGCCGACCTATCTGTCGACGGTCGATTCGGTATGAGGGCACGAAGTACCTCTTTGCACGCCAGGGAAGCAATTGCATCCACGTTGTCCTTCGATGCCATGGAGTAGTGTAGAGCCTCGCTATTCTTCTGGAGGCTTGTGCAAGCCCTAGCAAAATCCGACGTTGGATCGGACAACTCCATTGGCGGAGAATGAAGGACGGACGTGTTCGACGTCCCAAGACTTAGCTGTGGATTTAAAGTCGGTGAGAATGAATTTGGCAGGTGCAAGCTGAACTTCGAGGACTCCTGAGTGGACAATGTCATTGGTGAAGACTTTGGTGAACATGAGAACGGCGGACCCGGAAAGGAATCAAAGTGATTTGGCTTTTGAAATGGCGAGAACTCGTTTAAATGGCCTTCTGGTGAAATGCTTGATAGCGACTTAGCTGACGCCGACTGGCGTCTGTGCGGCCGTATGTGGTCGGTTGAGAAATACGAATCTGCCGGGAGCTTATCCGCGGCGTGCAGACGCATCAAGCCCCTTAACCTATGCAGGCCAATAAACTGATAGACAAATTTGTGGCCTTGAACCTTGCGGATTATGTTCTTCTGGTAGTAGTAACGCAGAGCACGCGAGAGTTTGTCGTAGTTCATGCGGTGGTTGTTGTCCTTCCGCAGGCCCCACAGTCGCGCCACTTCCTCCGCTCTCAGGAGCACAAATTCGCCAGCATTGTTCGTCCAGCGAATAATATCCGAGTAGCGTGGGTCCAGCAGAAGTTGAAGGAGAAACTGCCACAGAGTGACCTTCCCTTTGGACGTGTCGAATTCCAACTACAACCACAAAACAACCACAGCTCACGTTCAAGAATTCCAAAAGGTGATTAGCACCATTTACGGAAAATGCCAAATTTATACAAAAGATGAACATTTCCTGAACAACAATTAGAATCGGATGAATCTGCTCACATCACTCATCAGAGTGACTTTCAGAACTGGTTCAAAACGGCCAGAAGCTAGACGGGAGCTTTGGATGTCCAACACGAGAGCGCTTTCCTGAATAACCTCTCAGAAACCCGCAGTCTGGTGTGATGCCTGCTGACTCCTCTCAAACATACAATAGACGGTTTCTAGGTGGTCACGTGTCTTCCACGTGGTGAGTCATCATTCAGGATGTGGTCAACAGAACAAGCGTCCACACAAATTTAAAAAGCACCTGCTTGAAGTCTACCAACATGAGATACTGCATACGTTGGTTAAGCCTACCACAAGGAATCAAATCATGCTCAAATGAAACCGCCTAGCTGTCTGATGATTCAGTCTTCAAGGGGAATGATTCTAAGCATTTATTTGGATAAAAAAAGGTAACATTTTCGAAAATTTTGAAATACAAATTTACCAAAGCGGATAATTTGACTTCCTTCCGGTTAAAAATCAAGTTTCCACAGATGGAAATGGTTTGATTTTGAGGGTTAATGTCGGTTAAGAAAACATTTCGAACTTCAAGAGGAAGGTATTTAATTAGATTAAAATAGTTACCGGTTGGTCGTTGTGGGTGGTCACGGAAATTGCAACGTACGTAGGATAAAAGGAAGCTGACTATTCGCTGTCTTATCCCACACATCCAACTCCTCCAAACACGATAAGCTGTAGAACAAGATAGTACCACTCGCAACGTTACATCTTTGAATTGAAGCAGTCAACGCCCATCGCCTGATCCACGATA